ATAATAATCAGGTACTAACCAGTAACTAATAATTTATCTTCCAAATAAAATAGAAAGCTGCAAAATTACAAGGAAAATGGCCAGATCTGCATTTGTAGTGGTGGGATTTTTTCGTGCACTTCTCTATGACACTGATATATCAAATAGATAAAACAGTCATTAAAAATAGAAAAATTAAGTTTTCTCTTACAGAGGGCTAGCATTCTGCTTCCAATAAATATACTATATATTCTTTTCTAATACATGGAACATTTATAAAAATTGTCTGTGTTTTAGTCCTCAAAGAAGTCCTGAGAACTCCTAAACTCCTTATCATATGGGCTGCATTCTCTAATCTCTATTGCTTTAAAATTACAAATCAGCAATAAAATCTTTTTTAATCTTTTACATTTGGAAATTGAAGAAAAATACATCTGCATAATTCAGGAGGTTAGAGGGATACAGTAAAAATTACAAAATAGAAACTGCATTACTAGAAAAATTCTACACTCCCAAAGTTGGTGGAAGGGTGAGGAGAATATAGCTAACAAAGTGGTTCTTAGAAGGGAAATTATAGCTCTATACATAAATATATTAAAAATGAAAAAAATGAAGCTAATAAGCGAACAACACCACAAAGGAAGGAGGAAATAATAAAGATAAAAGCAAAAGTTAATACAAAAATAGGATTCGATTAAACTAAAAGCTTCTGCACACCTAAGGAAACAATCAACAGAGCAAATAGACAACCTACAGAATAGAAGAAAATACTCATAAGCTCCACATCCAGTAAAGGGCTAATAACCAGAATTTAAAAAGAACTCAAGCAAATCAGCAAGAAGAAACCAAACAACCCTATTAAAAATTAGGCAAAAGACATGAACAGAAGCCTCTCAAAAGAAGAAAGACAAATGACCAATAAACGTGTGAAAAAATGCCTATCGTCACTAATCATCAGGGAAATGCAAATTAAAACCACAATGAGATATCACCTTACCCCAGTCAGAATGGCTTTTATTAAAAAGTCCAAAAACAATAGATGCTGGCATGGATGCAGAGAGAAAGGAATGCTTATACACTGTTGGTGGGACTGCAAATTAGTACAACTTTTATGGACAACAGTATGGAGATTCCTCAAAGAACTAAAAGTAGACCTACCATTTGATCCAGCCATCCCACTATTGGGTATTTTCCCAAAGGAAAAGAAGACTTTTCATCAAAAAGACACCTGCACTCAAATGTTTATTGTAGCACAATTCACAATTGTGAAGATGTGGAATCAACCCAAGTGCCCATCAGTTTGAGTGGATTAATAAAATGTGGTATATGTATACCATGGAGTACTACTCAGCCATAAAAGAGATGAATTAATCCCTTTTGCAACAATATGAGTGGAACTGAAGCTCATTCTCCTAAGTGAAGTATCTCAAAATAGAAAAACAGGCCGAGTGCGGTGGCTCACATCTGTAATCCTAGCACTCTGGGAGGCCGAGGATAGAGGATTGCTTGAGCTCAGGAGTTCAAGAACAGCCTGAGCAAGAGTGAGACCCTGTCTCTACTAAAAAAAAGAAGAAAAAAAAATTAGCTGGGCGTGCTGGTGCCCACCTATGGTCCCATCTACTCAGGAGGCTGAGGCAGGAGGATAGCCCAGGAATTTGAGGTTGCAGTGAACTATGATGATGCCACTACACTCTACCCAGGGTGACAGAGCAAGACTGTCTTCAAAAAAAAAAAAAAAATGGAAAAGCAAACACCACATGTACTCACTATTAAATTGGAACTAACTGATGAACGCACGTGCGCACAGAGGGAAGTAAAACTCAGTGGAAATCAACCAGCGGGGCAGGGGTGGAGGACATGGGGAGAAAACCTACACAATGGATACTGTGAACACTATTTGGGTGACAGACACACCTATAGCCAGGACTCAAGCATTACAAAAGTGATCCATGTAACCTAAAACATTTGTACCCCCTTAATATTTTGGGGGGAAAAAGTTAATACAATAGAAAACAATAAAAAAAGAGATAAGAAAGAAAATATGGGATGAAGAGCAAAATTAAAAGTTGATTTTTTTAAAAAAAAAGACTATTAAAAATAGATAAGCCAGACAGATTTTTTTAGGGGGAAAAGCACAGATAAACAATATAAACTTAAAGTGACTTATAACTATTTGATACAGTGGAAATCTTTAAAATTCATAAGGCAGTCATGAACAATCAATAAATTTGAATACTCATAAAATGAATACTGATTTGTGCTATGCATATATAAATTATCAAAATTGACTCTAGAATAGAAAACCTCAGTAGAACAATAACCATATATTACAAATTGAATCAGTAGTTTAAAATTATAAATCCAATGAAGGTAAAGGGTCCAGATAGATTTATGAGTGAATTTTACCAAACTTTCAAGGGATAATTCCTATATAATTTATTCTAGCTGTTCCCAAGAACATAAAAAGAAATGTTAAACTGCATGATATCTAAGTTTGCAGCTTTGGAAAATAATTTTCTGTGTTTATGAAGGGAAAAAATCAGAAATAATTTATATCCTAACATTTTATTGGTGTTGAACAAAATATTGTCTATACTAATAAATCCAACATTCAAAAAAGTAAGTAGTACAGCACATACAAATTTGATTCCTATTTTAAAAGAAGGATTTAGTGATCAGATACTTTGGGCAAGTGTTATATGTTGTGGGATGTACATTATTAATTTTAGGACATAAAATACTACAAATACATTATAAAGATGTGACATTGTTTTATCAACCATTTCCCCAAATGTATTGTTCAAAACCAAATGAATGAATGAATTTATAGGGAGGAAAATAAAATAGGTAGTTTTTTACACCTTTTATTTCAGGAATTTTATTAGTATGTTGAATTTTGAAATGACTTAGGGTAAGGATCTTGGGACTCTACTTTCTGATTTCTTTTGACAGTTATAGTAATATTTTAAATATACAAAATTAAGTTATTTAAAAAAGTTTATTCTAATCAGGGCTTTCAAAATTAGTCTGTGCCATTAGGGACCTAATTATGTTGATGGGTGTCACTGCCAGGCTTAAGAGATAAGAAAGAGAAAAAAGGAAAGAAAGGAAAAGTGACATTAATATTGCCCACCCATGTTCTAGTAATAATGTATTATCAAATGCAGATAATCAATGTCTTTCTCTCATTTACCTAGTATTTTAATTTCATGTTTAATTAACTTTTCTTTCTCTTATTTACCTAGTAGAAAATAAAAACTTCAAACTTCTGTACTATGAGAGGGAAGATTTAAGAGGTCATTTATGCTTAGGTTCCTGCTTGGTAAGCAGTATTCAGTCAATCACTTCATTGTTTTAGGCATTAGGCGTACAATGGTTAGCAAAAATGCATGTGATTATTGCTCTCATGGAGCTTATGGTTTTTAGGAGGAGACACAAACTAATATATGATTGCAGTTTATGAAGGAGAAGTTCATAGAGTTGTAAGTCAATGATAGGAAGAGTGATCTAGTCAGAAGGGGAAATAACAAGTTGTTAAAGGGACAGTTGGTTTCCAGGATGTAATTGGTTGTAATGATTGTTCAGAAATAAGTTGGATGGAAAAACCGGAAAAACAATTTTCTAGGTCTTTCTGAGTAACTTTTAATGGTGTATATTCTGTTTTGTTTGAAGTAAATTGCCATAATGTTAGATTTACCTACATTTGAATATGAGTTCAAGATCTATTCTAAAGCCAAATTATTTTGGCATTATCTATAGTTATTCATTTTTTCCATAACCCAGAATTAATGAAAATTGTCTAATTAACATGTATAACAATTAAAAAGTCAAAGCATAAACTAATTTTTACAGGAGGTTGAGTGATAAATACACTATAAAGATTTTTTTTTGAAACATCTTTTAGAGTGGAATTTCTATCACCTGTCAAATTTCCATTGGATTGACAATTTACTCTTATGTCTTACTGTTATTTTGCCTGATTTGTAGATCAGATACAGTTATGTAAACAGACTAAATTGTATTCTATTGGCAGAGCGCCTAGGATTTTCTGAGTTAATTAAAAGTATAGAGCTGAAATAAAGCCTTAACATAATCATCGTTCTTTATCAAGTTTTTCTTAGTAACAAAAGAGAACCGGAACAACAGAAATTGTATGTTTGCATACATAGTGAAAGAGGGGATAGGTGAGAGAACTTTTCATGGAAGCAATATATTAGCTACATTTTAATATTTGGATGAATGTAATGTGTTCACAGTTCTCCCAACAAATAGTACTACTCACCATATAAGAAAGTTCCTTTTAGTGGCATTTGGTATGAAGCATGGTTAGAAGCTATTTTATCATTCATTCCTCTTGCTGGCAAACTTCCTAGAAAGAATAGCAATCTCTGCTATTATGAGACTGCACCATTTGCCTTTGACTATTCAAGTATTTAATTTCTACTTAAAAAGAAAATCTACCTATTGGTCTATTTTCTTTTTCCTTTACTCCTTAAATACCATATTGTTTTTCTTCAGGGATTTGTTTCCATCCTTTGATAGAGCTCTTACTGGCTTCTGATATAAGATCAAGATCTTTCTAATCACCTCACAGGAGTAAGGTTCCTTTTTCACAGTCTGGATGAATAGTTAGGAAAACATTTTTTAAACTGAGAATTAGAATGCAGTTATTTCTCTTTGGGAACCAAACTAAACATTAGTCTTATCTTTAATGGTTATTGTTTGACATGCAGAACTGAACTTGCCCTTAAAAAGTTACACCATCTAGTGTGGACTGAAAATCCTATATGTTAGAAAGATTGAGGTGGGTAGTAGAAGTGGCTACACTGAGTAAGTATTAAAGCCTCATTTTGGCTTGCACAAGGCCCTGGGTTCAATCTCCAGCACCTCAACCAATTAAAAAAATTTTTTTTTAAATTTTAAAAAATCCTCATTATTTCTTATATCATTAGTACTAAGTGTTTAAAATAGGTGGTTAATCAGTTGGCACTGATAGATTAATTTTTCTGTTTCTTTAATAGGAACATGAATCTGAAGGTGGAAGAACACCTTTGATGAAAGCTGCAAGAGCTGGTCATTTGTGCACTGTGCAATTTCTTATTAGCAAAGGTAAAGAAAGTGCAAGTGATCATTTCCAAGAGGCTACAGTATCTGAAAAGAAAATTCCTAACTATTGTAATTTGCGATTTGTGTTAAGGCTGTTTTACCTACAGTATAAATACTGTATTCTAGTCTTTTGTTGTATTTTATTTAGTAAGCATAGAGTTTGTGAGATGTGTACTGGGGATTTTCTTTATAAGTTTTAATTTTCATCAACCAAATAGCATATGGTTGCTTCCAAAAGTTGGAAAAGCCAAATATAAAATGTCCAGCTATACTTAGGTAGATGTGCAACACTTAATCATAAGGCAGTTCTGCTGGAGATGGGGGTGGAAGCCAGAGAGACAGTCTGCTATTGTGGTTATTTGTTTTTGGTACAGTTGAATTAACTGAGTTTATAGGGTCTTATTATTTTTATATTCCTCTAGAAATTCTATTATTAGAAGAATATATTTAGGCAAAGAACTTCAGCTGATGGGTAAATGATTAGTTCAAAACTGTTCACTATAGAAAAGTGAAATGCTGCTGAACCAATGTTAGGTTGAACTAATAAAATTGTCATTTATATGCTCTTCTATCTGAGCCCACACACACAAAATCAGTATTTATAGATCAAAAATGGTAATGTCAGCAATTTCATTTTATTCAGCCTACTCTTTGTATAGTGTCAGAGGTACACTGGCATTTGATGAAAGGTCCTAGGATAGGATGATGAAAATGCAAGTAAGATCTACTCAGGTGGTGTCATGTTATTAAAATAAAAATTTTATATTTATATTCCAATAGAATTCTGACATTTTGTGACATTAAAAATGTAGGGTAAGATCTTATCATTTTATATATACTTGTTTTCTTCTTTAATTAGATAAAACTGGGTTTATTTTATTCATATCACATTTTTGCTGCCAAGTAAGACATATCTTTACATAAGGTTCTATAATATAATTTGTAAAAGCTATTTACCTCAACCACACAGAAGTAATAAATATATGGATAACCCTTCGCGTTCTTTTATGTTCCTTTACTGAAGAGGAAACTTAATCATATCCAATAACAACCTACTAAGAATATAATCAGGCTTGTCAGGAATAGGAACACATTGATTTTATCCTTTCTAGACTAAATAATCCCATCATCTAAAATAATCTCATGTTGTTAATGTAAAGGTGTTCATTGCTGTGTCTTACCTTCCTAAATGGTACTTTTATGCAAGTTAGGATTAGGTTCAGCTGGATATTTTCTGAAAATGAAATAATAATGGTATTGGCTTATTTTTCTCTCACTTGTAAGTCGAATTAAGGAAGAATGAAGAATGAACATTTTTTCTATAGTCTTTCTAGTTGAGACCTTTTGGGATTGTTAAAGATAGCTGAACTAAAAACCATTTCCTTTTTCAGGGGTCAAAAATAATTTATCAAAAAAGAAGCTATGAAGTTAAGAGATTTTGCATTCAGACTTTTTTCAGGTCATATTATACAGAGCTGTTGAACAACTTACTAAATAGCCTTTCAACTAACGTATTTGGATATGGGATAACCTTCTCTTCATATCCAGGTCCCCCAGACTCTTAAAAATACACAGCATGAAGAATTATATTTCTCGTCAATATTGCTTTCAAAAAGTTGTGTCTTCTCTACTTGAAACCTGGCTATATTGCCACTTTCTAGAAGTAGATCAAAAATGTCTTGGAAACATTTTGAGAATTACAAATGATGATATTATTTGATGCTTTCATTAACCTGTATATATTTATTAATCTTAGTCTTCTAGATTTTCCATTTTAAAAGTGATATTGAATGAATGAACTACAACTACGTGCAACAATGTGGATGAATCTCACAAATATAATATTGAGCGAAAGAAGCCAGTGATTCCATTCATATAAAGTTCAAAAACTAAAACCAGTTTGGAAGTCAGGGTAGTAGTTACCATTGGTGGGGTGGGTTGTGATTGAAAGAGGGCACAAGATGGGGCTTCTGGTATGTGGATAATGTTCTGTTTCTTGATCTGGGTGCTGGTTACACAGGTGTGTTCACTTTGTGAAAAATTTTCTAACCATAACACTTATGATTTGTATACTTCATTGTATCTATGTTACACTTCAAAAAAATCTTTAAAATGATATTGTCTTGATTTCATCCTTCGCTAAGATTTGTGTTTATTTTTCTTCAAAGGTGCCAATGTGAATAGGGCTACAGCTAATAATGATCATACAGTAGTGTCACTGGCATGTGCAGGAGGCCATCTGGCAGTTGTTGAGCTACTCTTGGCTCATGGGGCTGACCCTACTCATCGACTCAAGGTATTCTACTTAAAAATAAGTAAATAAATTAATATATATATTGTTATAAAAATATGTAAAACAGGGTGGGTGCGGTGGCTCATGTCTGTAATCCTAGCACTCTGGGAGACAGAGGTGGAAGATTTGAGGCCAGGAGTTTGAGACCAGCCTGAACAACATAATGAGACCCCTGGCTCTACAAAAAATTTAAAGATTAGCCAGGTATGGTGGCACGTGTCTGTAGTCTCAGCTACTTGGGAGGCTGAGGCAGGAGGATCACTTGAGCCCAGAGTTTGAGGTCGCAGTGAGCAATGACACTTGCTTCTAGCCCGGGCAACAGAGAGCTCTTTTTTGAGCCCTGTCTCAAAAAAAAAAAAGTAGAAATATATATGTTCAATCTCTTAGTGCTAGAATTTATTACTGTTTCAATGAATTTTGATTTTATATGAGCTGCTAAGAAACTAAATATCAATTAGATTATAAGAAGAAATTTACAAAGAATTAATTATGGTGTCAATTCTTCCTCAGGATGGCTCAACAATGCTCATTGAAGCTGCAAAGGGTGGCCATACTAATGTTGTTTCTTATCTGTTGGATTATCCAAATAATGTTTTGTCAGTTCCAAGCACAGATGTGTCTCACCTCACCCCACCTTCTCAAGATCAATCTCAGGTAAAGTAAAATGGAGCTTATTTGTTAATGTAAATATTCTTCAAAGTGATTGGAAGTTTTGTTTAAAATCAGTTTTAAGCAAAATGGGTTTGTTTCTGTTTTCTATCATGTATTAGGAAAATCATGATTCTAAATTCTTTAAGATTTATTTTCTTCAAAGATACATGGAATTTTTTATTGTCTTATTTATTGAAAATAGTGGTTTTTAAAAACCACTTAATATCAAATATAATCATAAGTATTCCAAGTTGTTATCTTACTACAACTAGGTCTTCCAGGTTTTTGTTTGTTTTTTAACGAATACATTGAGCATAATCCTGAACCAAAAAAAAGCTTTTTTGTAATACCTCCAAGGGCCATATTATCATAGAGATAATGGCTTTTGTCAACCAGGAAAGTATAGATAACCAGGATATATGCACTAAAAATTCATGGGAGTAACTTTAAACTTACCTAAAGTTATAGAGAGAATATAGAGAGTATACCAAGTGTATTTTTTTTTTAAGCCAGTCAACCAAGTATATTAAGTTCAGTGAAATCCTAAATTCTTCTCTACAAAGTTTTCCTGAGAATTGCTAGCATACCCCAATTCAAGAAATATATCTTGGTTATTTTTTTTAATACATGTAGAATTTGAACAGGGGTAAATTGGCTAGTAAATAGTGAATATGTGACTTATATTCCTAGATTTAGGTATAATTGGAACCAGCAAGGCTTTATCTTTAGCAAGAGAGGAATATTAATTCCATTTAGCTTAAATCATTGATTACTTGTAGATTACCTGACTGTTCAATCACTATTCTCAGAAATTAATCTTTGGTGAAGGCTTTTGTTTTTTCTTTAAGCTTTAAGAAATAAAGTGAATTTGGTAGTATATGAAGGAAACCTAAAACAGTATCTCTGTTTCATTTATGGGCCTTTATTTTATTCTTTGGGTCTGAGATGATTTTTTTTTGAGTTGATTTTTTAGGTTCCACGTGTACCAATGCATACACTTGCCATGGTTGTACCTCCCCAGGAACCTGACATAACTTCGCAGGAGAACTCTCCTGCCCTTTTAGGAGTACAAAAAGGTTAGTTATTGAATTATTTTCTTACAATGGGTATTTTTTCACCTAATTAATAAATCAAAAAATGTACACAGTTACTGTGTACCCATGGTTAATTGAGGTAAATAATTCTGACAAATTCAAATAATCTTATAGACTTTAAAATAGAAAAGACATAAGTGCTAGGAAAAATGACTACTTCTTATTTCCCTGTTAACATATTGCTAGATGTAGCTTTCATCTGGCGGAGATGAAAATACTTAAGAAACAAAACCAAGTTCTTGATTATATTAAAGTAGCAAAAATTTATTAGACCTTGATTTTCCATTAGACAATTCTTTAAACAATAATGTAACATGAAGAATTTGCTATTTAGTTTAGCCTTTGTAACACTGATTTAGTTAAGGAGTGAGAAGTTTAAGAATTACAGTTTCATTCATGTAATGCTGAATATAGTGGGTTACCATCTATCAATATGTGAACCTGGACAAATAACTATCAAAATGTATATAAATAATATCCAAATGACTATTAAGGAGTGTATACTATTTAAAGGATTGAAATTTATGAGTTTTGATAGTTTTTATACTTTTAAATGAAAAGAACCTTCACATATAGATTTACCTTCACTTGATAACCATGTCCAGTTTTAATATCTGAGTTCTGTGAAATAAAGAAAATAGGTAATGTGTAGAATTTTTAAAACTACATAAAGGTGGGTGTGGCAGCTCACGCCTATAATCCCAGCACTTTGGGAGGCCGAGGCAGGAGGGTTGCTTGAGGCCAAGAGTTCAAGCCCAGCCTGGGCAACATAGCTAGATCCCATCTCTAAATAAAACTTTTTTAAAAATTTAGCCTGATGTGGTGTTGTGTGCCTGTTGTCCTAGCTACTCAGGAGGAGTACTAAGGCAAGAGGATCACTTGCACCCAGGAGTTTAAGGTTGTAGTGAGCTATGATTGCACTACTGTACTCCAGCCTGGTCAACAGAGTGAGACCCTGTTTTTAATTAATTAATTAATCTACATAAAAACAAATTTATGAACATAGTTCATTTAGTATATGATAATCAAGTCCTAGATTATTGAAATCACAATGAGATGTGTAAATGTATATTAGTATCTTTAATACTGTGGTTTAAGAAAAGTAGGTTGGATTCAACTGTTAGAGCAGCATACAGAAGCTTCCTTCAAATTATGCCGGTTTTAGTAATTTAAAGTTTTGAGGGTATTCACCAAGGATTACTTAATTTCTAAACTATTAATTTTAGAGATGAAATATCTGTAGTCTCTCTGACTTAAGCTAATTTTAGCAGTTTTCCATTAGATACCTAGCTATTCAAGATTTTCTTATTTTTAATCTTAACAATTAAAAAGCAAATTGAACATGTACTTGTTAAGGAATCTGAGCATCATAACCAGCTGGCAGCCTTTAGTAAAATATTTAAAGCTAAATGCCTCTATTTTTGTTATTTTTGGCTTTTGTTTGGCTAACTCCTATAGAGGACTATATTAAGTTTGGCTTGGGAAATTCAGTACTAAATAAGAATACTTTTTAAAAAATATTAACATAAAGTCACAAAATAACCAAGAAATAAGCTAGACAGAATATGTGCAGAGAGGAAATAAAACATTTTCGATTTAGATTTAATATGTATAATCTGAAATATTTGCATAATGAATTAAGTTGATGCTCAGTGTGAGTAATCATAATTTTGCTTACTGAAATATACTATCTACTTATTTTCTTCATGTTGATATTTTATTACCTACTGAATAGTATAAAAATAAACTAACCTTCTAAGGAATCTTTAATTTTACTAAATTATTAGGGGAGGAAGAAAACTGATGCTTGTATCTAAACACTTGAGCACTTGCTGTTGATATCAACCAGTGGCATTTCCAGCCTAACAGTTATTTATGCAGGATCAAACTGTGATAATGCATCGTGTGAAGGTGTCATGTTAGTATAAACCATGTACATCATGTACAGCATAGTATTCTTATGTTACTCTGAGTTAGGAAAAATCAATTGATGTAAAAGTGCACACTACATTACTGGGATAGATAGAAAAACCTATCTTAAATAATTAAAGATATATTATTACTTTTTTTCCTTAAATTTGCTTTTTCTTCTTAAAGCTTCTCTTTTATGTTTCTAAAAAATCTCCCTTGAGTGAAGAAATTACTTTTTGACCTTTTTGTTTTTGCCTTGTCTAAGTCCATATATTATTTCTCTGTAGTGTATGTGATTAGGGATGGACAAAGGATTCTTACTTTCTAGGACTTTTCTTTTCCTTTTCTAGCAATCATCATTTCAAGTTCTTATAACCTTTTGCTCCTGTTTTCAATAAATCTTTTTATTATTCATATCTCTATTTTTTAAAATGTTTTCATGCCCTTAAATCTTACCTAGGTGTTTGATATGTGTCCTCAGAGATTCTTCTCTTTTATGTCCCATGTGTACTGTACCATTTTGTACTGGCCCATCCATCTTGATCCATATCCTCCTGATTGAGGCAACTAATCTCTCTTGTCTGTTGTTGGTTTTCAAGGATTTGAGATTCTAGGTGGCATCTAACAGAGGCCTCAGAATCACTTCTATAAACAAAATATGAAACTAAGTGAGCATGATATGCTTGGTATTCTAGCATTATTTAACTTTATTACCTGTATTTATAAATATTCAGGTGGGAAAGGATGCATGAATAGTGTAATCCCTTTGCCTTTCCAAAATCAATTTTGTAAAGAAATTTCCTGATTGCAGCTACTTTCTTTATCTAACTTATGTGTAATAACTGGTTCTGCAGAGATTCTAAAAGAGAAGACTCATTTTGATCTTCTACAGTTGCATAATTTAGAACTAATCTGCTGCAAAACATTTAAAATGATGTTGATAAACAAAGTACATCTTTTGTGTATACCTCAAACTGTCTTGAGGAGTACTTTCTTTTCTCTGAACGTCTACCGTACTTTATTGGATCTTTCTTCTGGCTCTTGTCATTCCTGGTTGCTCCCCTCCCCTTTGGAGCTTAAATGTAGAGGGTTGAATTAATCATAATCAATTTCTGGTGTTTTGTCATCATGGCTTCTCTCTTGTTTTATTTATTGCCTTTTATTCCTCTTCCTATTCCTCTACTTCCCCCATAGGCAATCATTCTACTGTTTGGTGTGTATATACTTTTGTTCTTAAAGTTCTTATAAATTATTATTTTGTGTATATTTTCAATTGACATAAATGGTATTGTGCTACAGAACAATCTAATTTTTTACTTTTATTACTCAACACTGTTTTTAAGATCTATCCGTGTTTCTACTTCTAGATTGTTTATACCTGCAGCATAGTGCTTCACCGTGTACATCCTCCATGCTTTAGTTGTCCTTTCTCTGGGTGATGGGTACCCAGATTTCCTCTATTTTGCCACCACCACAGACAATGCTGTGATGAAAATCCTAGTACTAGCCCCCTTATGGATCTATATAAGAATTGCTTTGAGATGTTATGTCCGCTCTTAGAGTGTAAGCTCTTCAAGGGCAGGGTTTATGTTGTTTATCTTTGTATAGTCCACCATGCCTTGCTTGTATTAGATGTTCAAGTATTTGTTGAATAAATAAATGAATTCCAGGCTAAGAATATAGGTTATCCTGAAAGCACAAGAAAATTAAGAATTTTTGAGAAGGAAGATACTGTGATTAAAGAGCATGTTTAAAAAAATAAAGAAGTAGCATTCTAGAATGGTGGGAAAGAGATTGAAAACAGAAGTATACATGTAAGAATTAAATTAACATGCTGCTTTATGTCTTAGAGTTGTGTTTTGGAGTAGGTAACATGAAAAGTTCTCACATTTTTATATCAAATCATTAAAATTATATAGAAAAATTATATATACAGTGAATGATAATGGACTCTGGAACTTGTACTGCTAATATTCTTTAGTCAATTTTCATTATGTAATCATGCTTATGTGGATTTACATATGCCCAAATTTAATAATGTCTTTTAAAATATAAGTGCTTATAGTAAAAGGAGGAAGGTTGAATTAATCTGTTAGCATGTAACACAGATGCTCTATCTTTGAACATTCTTGGTTAAGAGACTGCTGTGTTAAAGATGTATAATGTGCCCTGTTTGGGAAATTTTGAGACACACATTTAGACATAGTGGAAAAATGAACCAATTCTAGGCCAGTGGCTTTTATTTTTGATTGTGATCATAATAAGTATTTTTGAAACCCAGGACACAATATGCATCTATTTATCAAAACACAAATTCTGTTAGATAATAAATACTCTACCACATTTGGTGTACTGTGTTATTTTCGGTTCTATTTAATCAGCTTCATTTTCTATTTAAGACCCAGTGGGAATGCTGTTTAAAAATAGGGTGCTATCTGATGATGTAAGAAAGCAAGAGAATTGCAGAACAAGGACTACTAAATTTGATTAGATAAAACCAAGTAAGGAAATATGAAACTTAATCTAAATCCATCTTTATATCATATATTTTTTTCCATTGACCATTATTTTTCTATTGCACAGTGTACTAATTATTTTAGATACAAAAATAACTAATAGAATTAAGTTGATTTCAATAGTAAACGAAATATTTGACAAGTAGATGTCCACCTCGTTCCCTCACTGCCCATAAAAAAATAAAGGCCATGTTTAACCTGTCTCTGTTATGGTTTCTACTACAAACTTTATCTAGCTTTGTTAATGGAGGAAAAGTAAGAGGCAGAGGAAGTAAGATAGAAACCAAACCAAAAAGATAAGATGGTGACTTTATCTGTATTTCTCAATAGTACTTTATGGTGCCACTCAGTGATACCAATAAATAGATTTATCTGTTTGTATCTGACAGTGGGCGATGTTTGAAGGAGATAGAACCTTTATTTTCTGGTGTCTTATAATACCAGAAACACTGCCTATTGAAAATTTTGTTGCTAAAAGAATACTTATCACAATCTGCTTTATCCCAAAATTAAAGATATTGCTTTCAGCTTATAGCAATAATTAGGTGACATTACTTGTTTTCCACCAACCTGATTTATTCTTGATATTATAGCTTGTGTTAAAGTTTTGATGTGTATCTAGGCAATCTTACAAACTCCTTAGTTACAGACGCTCAGCCATTGGCTATTTGGGGAAGAACTGCTTTTTGTGCATTACTTTCACTGTCTTCCATTTTTAATACTTATATACATTCTGAACTTATAGTCTCTCTATTGATTTAAATAAGTTACTCTTAGTAATAATCTTCTATTCCAAGCTTCTTGCATATTATCTGTTAACTAGATAGGGCCATTCCTATCTGTTTCTATCCTCAAAATTCTAGTCTTAATTTGGATTATTTTACTATTGATAAAGATTTGAAATCTGTGAATGTCCAACATGGTCACAACATAATGACCAACCAGTCTTGTTAGTGTGAAACTCTTTACCTAGTTTTCCTTAATCTTAAATACAAATTACATTGTAGCTATATAAGGGTGTTTTCAAATTAACAGGTGTTTAAAGGAGCATACAGTCTTTGCAGAACTTCTAAATTTACTATTCTGATGTCATTGAATTTATTGTAGGACTGAATGTTTCCTTGCTGTGCTGTGGATTTATACATTGCTATTTATGTGACTGTTTACCTTCCTCTTCTTAACTGTTTGTTGATTGTCTTTGGGCACTTTAGAGAAATACTGTAAATCAAAACATGGACTCCTATGTGGTCTTATGGAAGTAGTAATAAACCTTAGCTTACAAATCTGTTTTTTTGCTCTGAAAGAATAAAGTCTTTCTCTGCCTTTACTCAGAAAGAAATATATAATTGAATATAGGCAATACACTTTGCTGAAGTTTACTTTTAAGGAATGATTAAGCCTCTGAAAATGATTGTGGCGATATTGGAACTGTGGTCTTCTTACCTTGTTAAAGAGAGTATCTAGGAGAAAACCACAGAATTTTTTCAGTAATAATGCTTGTTGCATATGTTTGAGCTACCTGCAGTTTTGAGATCTATTTTAGCAAAAAGACAGATGAATCTTTCTCTTTTTTTTTCTTCCTTCAGTGGTTTTGTCATCTTCTTGCAATTCAGAGCATTTTTACATCTGAGTCACTTTTTTTCCTTTGGACTTAAGAATCATTTCTAGGCCAGGTGGGTGGCTGATGCCTGTACTTCTAGCACTTTAGGAGGCTGAGGCGGGAGGATCGCTTTAGGTCAGGAGTTCAAGACCAGCCTGACAAGAGCAAGATCCCATCTCTACTAAAAACAGAAAAATTAGCCAGGCGTGGTGGCATGCACCTGTAATCCCAGCTACTCGGGAGGCTGAGGCAGGAGGATTGCTTGAGCCCAGGAGTTTGAGGTTGCTGTAAGCTAGACTGATGGCATGGCACTCTAGCCCGGGCAACAGAGCAAGACTTTGTCTTAAAAAAAAAAAAGAATAATTTTTAATACATTAGATGATTTTATTTTAATAATTCCCAAATTGCCTATGTTATTTATATATGTTGACTGCAGTCCAAAATAATAGATAACCATGTTTTACCCAGTTATTTCTTTTTTAAAAATAGCTTTATTGTTGTTTAATTTATATACTATAAGGTTGACTCATTTTAACTGTACAATGCAGTGAATTTTAGTGTATTTACTGAGTTGGGTAACCACCACCACCATCTAGTTTTAAAGCATTTCCATCACCCCAAAAAGTTCTCTCATGCCTGTTTGTGACTGATCCTCATTCTCACTGCTAGAAGCCTTGGAAAGCACTACTTCCCTTTCTGCCTCTGTAGGTTTGCCTTTTCTCTACAGATTTGATACACATGGAATTGATAATATGTGGTCTTTTGTGTTTGGTTTCTTTCACTTAGTGTAATGTTTTTGAGATTCATTCATGTTGTGTAGCATTTATCAGTAGTTTGTTCATTTTTGTTAACGAATAATCCTTGTTCTTCCTAAATAAGATTAAGCCTTGAATTTGTCTCAGAGTAGTTATTGTACATCAAAAAATATATTTCCTCCGTTTCACATCCAGATGTTAGGATTGTTAATATTATTGATAATTATTTTCAGCTGACTTGTTATAAGGGGAGTAACTTAAGTGCAATTTAAAACCTTAAAATAATATACATTTCCTTTGTTTTTAACATACGCTGTGAATATGAGTAACCTTATATGCAAAGTATGATTTTTCTCCTAGGATCATTCATTGTTTCTCTTATAGATAGATTTTACTCGAAGGGTTTATTTAAACACAGGATAATTGTCCTTTGTGATAGAAGTTTTTAATATAGTGTTCTGGTACAGAAGTTTTAAAGACTTATTTAATGGAGAATTTTAGAAAGATATGTCTTGAAAAAACTGATTTCACATATTTTAATACAAGAGGAAAATATTTTGACAACTTGAAAAGTACTTTTCCCTACTTTGATCTATAAGTTTTGGTCTCTTGTCATAACCTTTACTTAACACAGTTAATATTGCTAAAAGAACAATTGTTCTAAATGGCTGTTAAGCTAGCATTAATGGTATCCTCAACACTATTTTGGTACTGCTTTAGATTCGATATTCTTTAGAAAGTCCAATCTAATCAGCAGAATTTTGAGATTCTTTCTTCTTTGTTTTTCTTTTCTCTCTGCCCTGTCTTAATCTCCAAAATCTTCCTATCCTAAAGTGTAGATTTTTAAAAATTCTCATTTTTTGAATTGGCAACATTCCAGTTTGTGTGCTGTGTGAAATAGATGAGTATAGGCTTTATTTATTTATTTATTTATTTTTAAAAATTTTTCTCTTTCCTTTTCTCAGACTCTGCTTTCTGGAGAGTATAGGCTTTAATCTACCTAATACTGATGTAACTCTTTGAACATTGATTCTACAGAATTAGTTATGAGGGTTTGGGGAGGGAGGTCCATGTTTGTGGGAGGGGAGGCTGATTTTTTTTTTTTTTTTTTTAGCATGGCACTTTTTCAAACATTTTTCATGTGCTTAGGTACATCCAAGCAGAAGTCCAGTTCCCTGCAGGTAGCAGATCAGGACCTACTGCCACCTTTTCACCCATACCAGCCTTTGGAGTGCATAGTAGAGGAGACTGAAGGCAAGCTGAATGAACTGGGACAAAGAATTAGTGCTATTGAAAAAGCACAGCTTAAGTCATTGGAGTTAATTCAAGGTGAACCTCTGAACAAGGATAAGATAGAAGAACTTAAAAAGAACAGAGAAGAGCAAGTCCAGAAGAAGAAGAAAATACTGAAAGAACTACAGAAAGTGGAAAGGCAGTTGCAGATGAAAACACAGCAGCAATTTACCAAAGAATACTTGGAAACCAAAGGTCAGAAAGACACAGTGTCTCTACACCAGCAGTGCTCTCATAGAGGAGTCTTCCCAGAAGGGGAAAGAGATGGTAGTCTCCCAGAGGATCACTTTTCAGAGTTATCTCAGGTTGACACAATCTTACTTAAAGATAATGATGTTGATGAAGAACAACAGTCTCCATCATCGGCAGAACAAATTGATTTTGTCCCAGTCCAGCCTTTATCATCTCCACAGTGTAACTTTTCCAGTGACTTAGGTTCTAACGGGACGAATTCTCTTGAACTTCAGAAAGTATCAGGTAATCAGCAGATTGTAGGACAGCCTCAGATTGCTATTACTGGACATGATCAGGGGCTCTTAGTTCAAGAACCAGATGGACTAATGGTTGCAACTCCAGCCCAGACGCTTACCGACACTCTTGATGACCTGATAGCAGGTGGGTTAAGAAATATATCTATAATAATTTCTCTTTAATCTGTGTCCTCCACTTCTTTAGATACCCCTCCCAAAACACAGACTTTGTGTTTTCCATTTTAGAACTGTCTTTATAAAATTACTTATTTCTTGAGGTATTTTGGAAGTGAATTTAACTAAGGTCAACAGCATTAACACACAAAAGTGTGTTTCCCCCTCTTCCTTTTTGTCACATTGTAAAAGCAAAGAAATAAAATTGCCCTAATCCTTTATTTTAGACGTGTGGTATCAAAACCACCCTGTGTTGTGTCTTGGATAGGCAATCTCAAAGTGGAATTTCTGTGTAGGCTTTGTAGATATTTACATAAGATCATACATTAAATTTTTCTGCT